CACTTCTTAAAGACAGTCAAATGTTATGCCACTTTTCTAGTTGCAGACCTTGATGGGATCCCATTTTTAAAACCTTTGAATGCTTGGGTTTATTGCTGAAGGAAAGCTGCTCCTAAATACTTTTATTGACTCCAACTCAAACCAGATCAAACTAATGTTCATCACACAAAGTGGCTAATTGTCCAAATACTTAAATCAAAAAGTGGTTAAATAATTAAGGAACATACGTGGCTTCTGATGACTTAACTCACCAATGAAACTAACATTTCTTATGACTTTATTGGTATGGTCTTCCTATTTTATTTGGTTTTACTGTCTATTCTCCCTCTTAAATGGATGATAGAACCAACTTTAGGCACTAAATGCAACTAGCCTTTTTCTCATCTGTCTGTTAATCATCATAAATTCCACTAATTTTTGGAAGAGGTGCAATCCCAGATGACATCCCTAAAATGAGGAATACTGTTTAACAGCAAAACATTTTTTAGCAAGGGCATTTTTTGTTTTTGTTCCAAGCTTTCCATGGTTGCTGAACCTAGCACCCTACACTATTTCATCTAGTTCAGCCCCTTCATTTTAAAGAAGAGGTAACTTTAGCTCACTGAACTGAAGTGACTTGTCCAAAGTAGTAAGGAATAGAGATAGAAGTTGATTACAAGTCTTGAATTCCAGTTCATTGGTCTTTTCCTCAAACTGTGCCATGTCTGAATTCTTATGCACTCTGGAGAAAGTTTTCCTCATTGTTAGTTTTTTTGTGAGTGCACATCTGGTGGTATCTGGATCCCATGGTATCAGGACTCTTCACTGTTTTCATCATTCTTTTTGTGGTTATTAGCTATTAGTTTTCCCTTCCTCCAATCCTTTTACCAAAATTTATATAAAAATTGACTAGTTTCCCTTTCTTTCCTAGCTCCTATTCAGTTGATGTCACAGAAAGCAATCTAGTTAAAAATAAGTTGGAGGGTAGAAGCAAGAGGACTAGGTAACAATCTTTGTACTTATTGCATTTGTAGTATGTGCTAAAATTAGATTCAACCAACATTTAAGCAAGCAATGACTGTAAAACTGTTAGATGCTTATAAAGAATGCACCAAGTTTAGATGATACAATTCCTGAATTAACAAAGGCTACAGTACACACATGATGATAAACAAATGGCAAGCACTTCAGAGTAAAGCAGGACACGAGATCTAGGAAGTACTGGGTAGTACAACTTGGGTTTGGGGAATGAGTTGGGAGGGACAGCAAAGATCATTCTAATTCAAACCTGTCATTTTAGTTGAGGAAATTCAAGACTAAGATAAATGATTCACCCAAAGTCACACAAGTAGTGGCTGAACTGAGATTGAGACCCAATTCCTCTGATCACAAATTAGTCTTTTTATTGCATCAATAAATGATCAGGGTTTTCCCTGATCACAGGGGCTTTTGATTGGCAAAGGAGTTTGGCAACTTCCTCGATTGAAGGGTTTTAAGGAGTAATGACCACATTTGTGCATGAGAAAGATGATGGCACCTAGTATACAAAAATACAGATCCTATCTTGAAGGAACTTAACCCAATTTGTAGCAGCAGTAGTAGTAGTAGTAGTAGTAGTGTACGAGAGACCTGTTAGGTAACTATAGTAGTTTAGTCAAATGATCAGAGCCTGTGCAAAGATATGGAATGCAAGGACTGGAACGAAGTGACACATAGAATGGGGAACTAGTTAGAACTTGGTAACCAATTGTATGAGTCGGAGTAGATAGGAGTGCCTGGTTGAACAGTGCTGCCGTTGACTGAAATAGTAGTCAGAAGCAGGGGGCAGATTTGAGTTTGAGATGCCTGAGGTGTTATCTGGGTAAAAAGGACAGAGATTTCATGCTTCAGAGGTAGAAATTACAATGACAAAATGTTCAGAACCTTCACAAAACACTGGGAATAGAATGAGTTCAGAATTGGCAGAATGGGTAGAACAGTGTCTTGGAAGTCAGAGGAGCAGAATGTTTAGGAAGGGGTGGGCCAGTTTCAGTTTCTGAACAGCTCAAGGATGACCAGAAAAAGACTAAGAAAAAATTTAAGTAGAGGGAAGGAACTACATGATTTCTAAGATACATTTTCAATTCAACTTGATCCATGCTAATATTGGCTTCTGTATAATGTTGACCTTGTATTTTATAATAACAAAAGGCAATTCACTGTTAAATAAAAACAAAGTAGTCCTTGACTTCAAGTCACTTACATCATTGCGGTGGGGTGGAGGCAGGGCAAACAGGCAAATATGTTAGTATAATTAGAACACGCTAGACATTTATTTCAATAGTAACATCTATACAGTTTGAAGGTCTACAAAATCTTTTGTATGATCTATCATGTTTCATTCTCACAATAACCTTTCGAGTAGGTGTTGTTATCTTATAGAAGAGGAAACCTAGTGACAGGTTCAATGACTTGCCCAAGGTCACACAGGTAGTATGAGGCAGTACTGCAACTCAGGTCTTCCTGACTCCAAATCTAGTGCTCCATTCACTACACCACCTACACATATATTGCAGTGGCAGCATGGATAACTATGTAGAAATGAAAATTAATTTACACAGCATTGGGTCATTGAATAATTTTTCTTGACAGATATGTCCATCTTCCTAACCTAATTTATCTTATTAATGTTACTTGCTTTTAATGTTAACTGCTTGCATTTTCTAGACACTTTCCTTTAAAGGAAGTCTATGTGGAGAAGACAGAACACATTGCAACAGATTATAGATTTTCCGAGGTATGAAACCTTTTTAACTTTTAAAAGTTAAATTATTGATTTGATTTAGGAGCCAAGGCAACATTTCCTTTATTAATAAGTAAGATGACAGGTCTGTTGAGCTCTAGAAGTCTTACCTACTAACACCCTACTAAACTAGTCTTAAGAACTGATGCTCAATTGAGTGTATTTTCTTTGCACTTACCATGTACTAACACATTAGATTCATCCCCAATTCTGTTTTGCCACCTGGTGTTAGCTTTTTAGCTTTCCTGCCCAAAAAGCCTAGGATCCAACAGCCCTTTCCTCAGTGGCTACTATTTTTTTTAGGAGGCTTAAAGCACAATGGAAATGCTGAAAATCTGGTTAATGTTGGAAATCAGTAAACAGAAAGTTTATCGAGGTGCTTGGTAGTTTCTAATGAAGACAAATAAACCACTGCTGGGATGGAGACAACATGCCTTCAATCTGAGCTTATGATGAAAGACAAATCACAACATGTTAACTTCTTAAGAGTCTCAGGTTTTTCTCTAGCGGAAGAGGGTCCTTTTAAAAAGCAATTAAAAGCTAATGGCATTGTCAGGAATAGCTTTTAATTAGATACACCAACCTCAATAACTCAAGATGCAATGTACATTAAAATCCAGTCATTGTTAAAACTGCAGATTTCCACACAAAAAAAAAACACACCTCAGTAGCCTTACTTACAAATGTGTAAAGGCTTTTATTCAAATCAAATTTCTACTTGTGAATGTTGGCAGCTATGAATTATTCCAATTAGAGCTTTCAGCCTATCAGCTATTAATTTTCTAACTTAAATATTTTAACAAAGTCACTTGTCTGTTTTCCAGTTTTGGCTATCTGAATCAGAGGCCTCACAATTTAGCTTTCTTAAAATTTAATCTTATGGAATGCTATAAAGTAGGCTGGTGTAAGGGGACCAGTTGGCCTTTTGATTACACCTCAAACTGAGGTCAATCTAATACTGTTCAAGTCCATCATACACAGTCTGAAACTTCATAGCTTCTGAACATTTATCTACAAAAGTTGACTTCCAGAATTCCTTTTATGGTTGGCAAGCTTAAAAATGACCACCATCCTAACAGGAATGTGTGTGTGTTAGTGAAATAAAATTAAACACTTAGCAGTTTAATCAGAGTAACTTTTTTAAACCTAAATATCTTCTTGGATATAGTGAGGAACTTGAACATGATTACAGTTGTGCTTAAAATGTTCAAAGTGCATGTATTAATATTTTTACAACTAGATTAAGGGACAAATTATTTCAAATAAATTTTTAATTTTCAAAAGGGGATAGGCAGGATGCACTCTGAAATAAAACCAAAAATATTTGCTAGGCTTTTACACCCCAAGGTTTTGTTTAATGGAGACATGGTGTTACATTTGATAATTACTTGATTACAGTAGGCTTTTATACCTGAACAACCCACCCTTAGCCAAATTAACTGCATGTATGTCATCTAAGGACCAATAAGTTCTTCACTGTTGCAAAGCTGACTGCAGCAACTTATGAACTTATGATACCACCTACAAAGAAGGGGACTGTGTCCTGAATCAATGAAGAGAGTACCTATACAGATGAAACCATGACTCTTTTCAAGTACTGAAGACATTAACTGCTATTAAAATAGGTGGTATAAGTGTTTACCATTACCTCAGGGTCAAATATCAAACTACATGTTTATTAAACCATATCGGCTTTAATAGGATTTAAGACCTTTCTTAGCACTTCCCTCTGTATGCAGCTAATGAAGCCTGTTCCAGCTTGGTAAATACAACTTAAGAATAAATCACTCTTTTAAAAGATGTTTAAAGAGAATAATTTTAATAATATTTCAACAATTAAAAAAAATCTTACCAATCACCTTAACTTTATACATCACCTTGTGCATGTGGAATGCTATACCTAAATAAATTATGGTAACATCTTGTTTCATTTACCATTGCTTAGAGGAAGACTTAGTAATGACTTCCATTTAGTAGACACAAGGAAGTCTTATTCTTTGGTAGAGCCTACTGAACAGGCAAACTAACTGATGGATTTTATTTACGGAAAGGGAAAATATCTGCAAAAAGAAAATACAACTCATTTAATTCCAAGGATTTTCATTTGATGGAAATGAAGTTTAAAGATTTCCACATTTATCCCCTTTGTGGTTGTTGATGGAGGTCATTACCTCATTCTATAAAGTGTTCAGGGAAAGAATAGTGAAGTTAAGGAGTCTGAATAGCTCACACAGTGTTGTAAAAATTACAACTGGCTGCCTTTTAATAAATAAAGTCATTGTATAGAGTCACATTTACAGAGTGAAAAGTGAATACATAGCACTTCAAGTTCAATTCTGTGGAAGTACCAACGAGTACTAAATCATAACAAGTTACACTAGCTATTTTAGAACCTTCCATCATTAGCACCAATTATAAAGATTCAACAAAATTACCTTTATTCCCACAACATCTCAAAACAAACTCCCAAATTCTTAGTGAAGTTTATTAAGTATAGTTGCAGACCTTAAATATTCACATTGTTTTCTATTTCAGTCTGAAAATAAATTCACCACTTTTTCTGGACATTCTTTACAAAATCTTATTAAAATTCCTGGTATTATGGTTCCCCATTATACAGTAGCACAGCAACCCTATATTATTTCACATGATAGCTCCTTAGAAGTTCACATCTACTTACAGTTATCACTTTACGAACAAAAACCTCCCCTGCCCTCATCTTGCACAAAGCTCAATTCTACACTAGTCCCTGGTTTATGTACCATCGCAAGAATAAGACTGCATTAAAAATACTATGTTTCTGGATACATTATGCCATAAGCAGTGACGCGTGACATTTAATGGCACAAATTATTAAACTCACTGAAAAAAACTTCAAAGCCAACCTGATGCTAACGTATTAGGACACACTGGTTAGACAGGGCTCTAGGTGTCCCTAGGGGTAGGCGTCTACATGCCCTAAATTCAGATAAACTGACAAAAGAATTAACAACCATAATCTTTTTTTTTTAAAGTTTAAACCAAATTATATAGCTGCTGATGTAGTTATTGGTAGTTATTGGATTTACTTAATAAACTAAAAGGTAAAGGATGAGATTAAATTCTCAAATATTTACAATAAACTACAACAGATACGTGAATAAAATTACAATTGTGCATGTACCAGTAGTTTCAGAACATTTAAAAATTCATGTACATTTAGGGAAAAATAAGACAGATTTCAGATAACTGTTTGGTGCTTGCAAAAGCTGAATTCAACCCAACTTAAAACACTCCACAACTTAAAGACTGCTTACAAATTTACCACAGGACAAGTTCTCAAGTATCAGCTGATAAAACAGAATTAAGAGTACTGGCTTTTAATCACAACTTTAAAAAAAAAAAGTTAAAGCCTGTCATTTGTTCTAGAGTCAGAAGACTGTGCAAACTTTACATCAACAGGACTATGATGAGACGTGCAAACAAATATAAAAATGTACACTAGTGGTTTAATTGGAGACTGATTTTTTTTTCCACAGAGCTTTCTGATTGTATAAACTATAATCACAAGTACAATGCACAGTCAATGATAGTTATTTTATTGTTGGAATATAAAGGAAAATTGTGATAGCAATAGTTTTACTTTCATTTTTATTGTGACAGCTGCATTCACCTGTAAAAGAAACATGGCATCACACACAAACACACTTCTTGGGGAATTCAGAATGCAGAGATTCTGAATGCTATGGAACAGTGATCCCTGTTTGCTACTAAAATAACATATATGGTGCTAAAGTTAAAAAAAAGACACAACTTACTAATTTTTTACTATGTAAGTTTTTTTTATGAATTCTTTAGTTCTCAAATCACATTAATCTACATAACCATTATTAACAGCTCTGTGTCTATATTACTGCATCAAGCCAATAAACATTTAAATGCACTTCACATCAAAAGATTATGTAAACTTTATTTTTATTCCTTTTTTTCCTTCAGAAAACAAGGGACCTTTTCAATGGCCAATCTGGTCACAACAATCCATGAAGGCAACAATTTAGTGCCCCACAGTCAGGTATGAATGACCATTCCTGGCACTGGATACCCACTCAGCGTCCCATTCAGCGGCTCCCAATAAGGCCTATAGTTAAAGATTAACATGACAAAGTGCCACCTTTTTTTTTTTAAAGATTACTGATGGACTCTGACACAAGACAAAATAAAGTTATTCTGTATATTTTGTTATACTTACAAGCAGCTCCAATCCTGAGTATTTATGGTAATATTTAAACATACAAAAATGTATGTACATTTTTCTCCACCTTCTTGTAAACAGTTGTCAGTATACTGTTTTATCCCTTTATCATTGAAACATGCAAATCATACATACAGCATAAATACACAAAAGAAAACAATTTACACTCATTCAAAAGCTAAACAACAACAAAAAAATGGTGGCTTCAGGATTCAAATGATAAATAATGCTTGAGGCATCCTATACACCTAGAAGCAGCCATTCGTTCTACTGTTCTTAGCTGCGACTGTAAAAATACTGAGATTTTTGCACCTTCCATGCTATTACAGTATTTATAACACTATCATATGTGGAGATAAGACTTGTTTACTATAATCTCTTCTTTTCAGAGTGAAGGATAAAGCAGCACTTACATATATTGAAACAATGGCAGCAACAGCTGGTGTTGCCTTTGCTAGATCAGGAAGTTTTCCATTCTAACAATTCTTAAATTAAAAAAGTAAAGGAAAAATTGACCTAAACAATTGATTACATGTTCATTCCTTGGGCACTTAACAGCGAATCCAGCATGTCGAATGTGTCTTTGTAGTCCATATGCTGGCTGTTTGTACTGTACTCGTGATTGGCATCAGGACCGTTGGTCTCCACTGGCTTCTTGTCCAGTTTCACGAGGGTGCTGAGATGTCCGTAGCCCACCTGGTATGTGACAGGGGGAGGAGGGGGTAAGGGATGGTTAAAAACAGAGTTGTGAGAGGATATATACTGCTTAACAGAGGAGGAAGAACTAGATGAACTACCTGAACTTTTGGAACTTTTGCTCATTTTGGAGTGGTGGTTGTGAGACGCATCATTGATGTGCAACTTCTTTCTTGCAGCACTGGAACTAGAGGAATTACCACCATCACTACTCAGGCCAACAGGACTCCTTAGAACTGTGGGTGGTATTCCATCAGTACTATGTTTACTGCCACCACTACTGCTGCCACTATGTGAATGGGAATGCTTGTGGCTGCTACTGTGATGGCGGTTGGAGGAATGTTCCTTGTGCTTTTCTTTGTGGTCTTTGCTCACGTGAGGGCTTGAATGCTTGCTTTTTCCACTGCCCTCATCAGAAGAGCTGTGTCTTTCTGAGGAAGAAACTTTTATTTTCATTTTCAATTCTTCTTTACTAGCGCTTTTATCAGTGGGAGGAATCGGAATACGCAACTTAAGTGATCCACTCTTTTCTTTTTTATCCAACATGTATTTTTCTGGTTTTTCTGCATTTGCAATAGGAATTTTCATTTTAATGGGAGAAGTTACAGAACTGCTGCTGGCTGCCTGCAACTGCATGTGCTTTTTGTGTGGTTGCTCTGCTTGGGCAGCTACATAGTGTTCCCTTACATCCAGTTCAAGTGTTTCTAGCTTTCGTTTCTCTCTATATTTATCTAATGACATTTTCTGAGGAACTATTACAGGAGCCGCAGAAACTGGCCCATGGTGTTTACTGCTTCCTGACTTATGAGTATATTCTTGTTTAACTGAAGAATGATCAGACAGTTTGTCAGACCTGTGATGTAATCCTGAATGTAATGACCCAGCAGGTCCTTGCTGGAAGTTGATGTTGTACTGACTACTAGACACTGGAGTCTCCTGTTTCTGTGAATATATTTGTTCTGTCCTTGTTGGTTCTTGATGCTGAGGCCATTCTTGGTGTGATGCCAAACTGTATGAGGTACTTGGCATTCCTGTTGTTAGCATTGCCAAATTATCAGCCGTATGACTATCTTGAACAGAAATATTTCCTGAATTCAGAGGTACTGGTGCAGGAAATGCCGATGAAGATGGTTTCTGAAAGCTTGCATTTGTAGTCACACCAGTAACACTATCTACTAAAATGGAATTCTGCACCAGAGATGAACCAAGAAGAGCTGTCTCAGCCACCTGTCCATCCCCTTTAGGTTTTTTAGCCGCCTGATTAGCCTATTTAAAACAAAACAAAACAAAACACAAAAGAAAGTAGTGAAAGCAAAGGAGACCATAATTAATATTTTATCTGTAAAAAAAAAAGTCACATAAAATATGTGGAAAAAATAGATAATGTGGGGTTCCAGATGTTAATGTCACATGCCAATTGAGAATTGCCTGAGAGGAACCACACGTTCCTTACGTTATGTATAAACAACAGAGTTGAAAAACAATTTTTAGCAAGAGTAGAAAAAAAAAAAAGGATATTTAATCCATTCCAAAGTGATACAGTGACTTTCTGAGAGAACCTTTAAGTTTCTTCTTACCCTCCAGTTTCGTATCCTCTTCAATCTATTAGGAGTTTTCTCCAAAATTTGTAGAAACTCATGAGTTAATTCTGAAAAGAAAATGAACACTCTGAACACTTGAAAGGAACTTAAAATAATCTATCACTTTATGGTTCGCTTCAATCAAGTACCTCAACAGTTCTTCCAGATTTTCCAAAAACTTCTCACTTTAGGAGAAATGGTCACAGTCTTGTTAAGACTGCCTGCTATACTGTGGTGATAGAAACGAAGCACTGTGCTTTTAGTACTGGAGCTAACACTCACTTAGTTGGGTTACCTTGGGCCAGTCACTTCACTAAGCCTTAGATTCCTCATCTATAAAATGGGGAGAACACTTACATTACTTATTACATAAAGCTGTGAGGAAAGCATTCTACAAACTTTAAAAGTGCATGGCATAATAGAAGACTAATGAATTTCTACAAATACCTGTTAACTTTAAAAAAATACATGACATATTATCTCAATTGCACCTCATGACAAATGTGACGTATTACAGTCATTATTGCCCTCAAGTGACAGATTAAGAAAACCTTTAAAAAATCTTAAATAAGGTATAATAAGGTGTCCTGTCATATAGCTATAGTGGGATACGACCCTCTCTCATGTACTTCTGTTTCAGAACTCTATTCAGTATGTAATGCTGTTTTGCCTTATTAGGGGTGCCACTCCTAGACCTTGAACAATCCAGTTTTTTCATTAATGATTTAAAAATGAAAGGTGAAACTTAGACTCAGCATACCTCATACTAGCCAAGGAACTTGAAAAAATGAACCACTCCCTAAGCGAGCAACATCAATGAAGCTCATGTTTATGCTCCCTAAAGGAAAGGACAATGAGAATCTACAGGATACTGACTAGATACTAATTGTATCAACCCCATGGAGGAAACCTAAAATGTTAATTTTTTAGGGTTTCTACTTGCTTGTTGCCTTCTTTCTTAATGATTCATAAGCTCCACTAGTTTTCAGGTAAAACGATGCTTTATCTTGCATTTCTTAAACTTACAAAAACACCTGTTTTCCTACTCTACGACGCTTGTTATCCTACCTGGTATAAAGTAGTATTAGTATGCAAGTTTTTGGGGTCATATTTGTTGCTTCTCTACAATTCCAAACCTGCATTTCCATTAATTCAGTTCCTTACAAAGAAAATTCCTTTGGAACAATACCTACTCAGCTGCAAACTCATGGTCAAAATATGAGGTACTGACAAATTAAATGACTTGCTTGTGATCACACATGTGTCCGAGGTGGGACTTGAACCCATGTCAGTATGACTTTGGGGCTGCCTCTTAAAATAGCTTCTTAAAAGGTACCAAAAAACCCCAAAACAAACAAAAAACTCCCAAACCCAAAAAACCCTTATGTCTAAAATCTTTCACTCATTATGAATTTAATTCAAATTCTAGTTTGTATATAATAAAAACAAGGGTAAAACTATGATGGTTGTCAAATGAACACAAGAATGACTCTTCCTAAAAAAAAAATTAAAAAGAATTAAACATAGGCTTCCTTTTAATTGTAAAGGATACAACAAATCGAACTACAAAGATGGAAAATGATTCATATAATCATTCAGTATTAGGTAATTTTTCTTGGCAATATACTTATAAGGGTTTTTTGGGAAATATCTGGTAAGGGTAAAAAAAAGACAATTATCTCCGTCAAACAGGAGATAAACTCCTCTCTCACAACTAAAATATAATCTGATTTAAAAAGAACTTCAGTGCCAAAAAAGACTGATCTGTTCAGCATGTTAATTTGAGAAAACTATTCAGGAATAACTTTTCAAAAGTCATCTTTAAGTGTGATTAATTCTCTATTATCCTCTCAAAGTGCTATGAGGTTTAGTTATTGATGTTACAACTCCACAAACATCAACAGCTTCGATCCTAGTAGGAGTCAGATTGTGAAGACGTTTTAAAAAGGACACACAGCAGAGGTTAGATGTTAGTGGGAGCCACAGGAGCCTATAAAATGTAAACTATGATTAGAATCTTACTTTTGCATCTGTGTGGGTGATAGATGAGAGAGGAGAGCATGGAGGCAGGAAGATGAGTTAGGAGGCTACTCCAATAGTTTAGGTGAGCTGTCTAATGAGGGTCTGAACTAGAATGATTGGCCATGTGAGAACAGAGAAGACTCAGCAACTGATAATTGGTAAGGGAAATGCAGAGTAAAAATGTCAGGTTGTAAGCCTGGGTGATTAAAGGAGGGTGGTAGTTAGATAGAAACAAGGTAGCCAGAAAGAGGTTAGAAGAAAAAGATAGTTCTGTTTAGGACAGAATAAATAACGATGACTATGTCATTTATCAAGCATGAACTGTCCAACAGTCAATTGGTGAAGAGACTGAAGCATAGGAGGCAAACCTGGGTCTGATAAATGATCATTCATGTAGATATGATGACTGAACTTACAGGAGCTTTTGAAGTCAAAGAGAGGATGTACCATTCTTTACATAATTAAAAAAACGTTCATGGCATTACCATTACTTAATACCTATATAATCTCGGTAAAATCACAACCTCTCAGGGCATGAGTTTGTTCTATAAAATGAAGAGGCTGGATCAGATGATCTTTAAGGATGATCTTCCAAGCTCTAAATATTAGAAGCCTATAAAAGACCCATTTATTCCTTTCCCCCTCTTCTGGCAGTAGCAAGGTTCACTCACTGGACTTTGCAAAACAAAAGTGATATTATACTTAGTCCATAGGTGGTCTTCACATTTTGAGCAAGGGATTTTCTTTTTTTAATCATTTGCTTGAGTTGAATGAGAGAACAGAGCACTCTGAACTGCCAATGATTTGTATTTTTAATCATCTTTTATTTACTGGTTAACCGGGAACATTGCTGAAAATCAGGCATTTGTTAAGGACCCATTTTACCCTTGAGATTCACAGGTAGAAAGAAAGGATTTTTTTTTCTCTCTTTTGAAGAAAAAAAAAGAGCCTTTCCAGTGCTTTAAATTTGTAGTTGAATTCATACCCAGCAACTACTTTTCCTAATTTAAGGAAATTAAATTTTGCTCAAACTCTAAAGTTGCTGTAATTAAGGTAGGTAGGTTCCAAACCTTTTATCTCAACAGTCCTCGCCAAGAATGAATGAACACAGTATTCCTTTTTAAGAGAAAATAATCAGGAAAAAGGAAAATTAATAGGAAACAAACATGAATATTTTGTATAAGAACATTTTGCAAAGATTTTAAAAAGGAACTGACTGAAATGCTATAGGCAACTTTATGTAACATGTTTTTAGCTGAGTTAGAAGTAAAATTTTGTTTCTAACTCACTTCTATAAAAAACTGAAATCACGTCCCATGGATTAACCTGAAAATTTGCAACAGAAGAGGTTACAAGATGTTGGGCAAAGTCTATGGCATGAGAAAGCTGCAGTAACCCTTGCCTTCTTCCACTTCTCTACTATTCAAATGTCTCCAGTGCCTGATAATCTCTGACTTCTTCACACTGTGCTCAGAATTCTGGTCCTTGTTATTTACCTCTGTCATGTCTACTAGAACTGGCTATGTCATGGATCAACAAGAATTTGTTAAGTGCCAACTAGATGGCACACACTATGTCTATTAGGTGCTGGGGATACAAAGATGCTTACCTTCTATTGGGGCATACAGCTTGTACACATCTAAGTAAATATGAAACGGCTTCAAAATAAATAAAACGGGTTTTTTTGGGGGGGTCATATAAAGAGTCCTAGCAGTTGGAGGACTGAGTAAATTCTTAGGCAGGAGGCAGCACTTAAGCTGAGTTTTTAAAGAGGATAGAGAATCTCAGCGGCAGGGGTAAAAGAAGGAGTACATTCCAGGATTCCAGGTAAGAGGGAGTCTACATAAAGCCATGGAGATGAGATGTCTTATGAAAGATAGCAAATGGGCCATTTTGAGTGAAATGTAGTATATATGAAGGGTAGTAATGTGTTAAAGGCCTGCAAAAGAAGGTTAGAAGTAGACTGTGAAGGGCTTTCAATGCCAGATGAATTTTTAAATGCATCCCATTTTATTACTTGGCATGACCAGTTAGTAACACATTCTAGCTTGAAAACTCCTTAAGATCTGTGATGGCATGGAGTAGCAAAATAATGCTATTGAGAATTGGAAGCCTTGGGTTGCAATCCTGGCTCTGCCAATCACCACCTGTATGACTGTGGGCAAGATACTTAACCCTAGTATCTATAAAATCACCTATAAAATCAAGGGGTCCCTTTCAGTGCTAAATCTTTCCTATGTGGGATGCCAATTTTCTACAAAGAATTACCAGTTCACGTTATCAATTCTATAACCTTGAAATTACAAAATTAGTTAAGATATATTTGTATTAGGTAAGGACACCTTGTAGTTCTGCCAACCTGAGACCACTTTATGTTATGGTAGTTGTCATCACTTTTTTTTTTCCCTTAAGGAAAACTACACACAATACCCTGAGTCTATCTCATTGAATAATTCTTTTAACTACTTTGGGGATGATATTTTGATTATACTTACCATCTAGTAATTCTAAAGTAACTGATGGATCCACATATTCCCACCAATGTTTTCCATCAGTAGATACAGGAATCTCCCAATTGGACCATTTGCAGGCCAAATGAATGCATACACATGCTATCACTGTTGGTTTATATTGAAGGCAGAAGGTAGTAAGATGTAGACTATTGCAGGACAGGTTTGAAAATGAAGAACCAGATATTCAAATATGCAAAAACAAAGGAAAAAAATTAACCAGTAAGATTAGGAATAATACATCCAAAATATATAGGTTTTCTTTAAAACAAAACAAAAAACCAGACACACACACTAACATCAGGTAAATGAGGCTATATTAATATTTAAATCAAATATTTTACTTATTTATAGGGACAAAGGATAGAATATTTATTTACCTTTCATTCATTTTTAATTTAGTATATAAGTTAATGTACTTAACTTTAAAAATCATACATTTACTTCCTTTGTAATTTGAGAACATTTTAAAAAACAAAAACAATTAATGTATAATTTGTTAATCTAACAAAGTATTATTAAAACATATCATACATTAAGTAGGGATCAAACCATTTCATGTGGATCTCCAATAGCTCTTATGAACAGCAAAATTCTCCAGTCACACAAGAGTTAACATTTTTATCTGTCTAATGACTCTATTTTTTCCCCCAGCAAAAGTCCCACCAAAACTTACCTCTGGCTGTACAGCTTCTCAAAGCCCAAAGTAACTAAAAAAGCTAACTACAAAAATGTCTCCCCAGTTGGCTGACCATGTAACTTCTGTGACAGCCTCCCTTCACCCTCAACCTCATCCAAAGTCTTTAAATCTTATATTATCCCCAAGTATTTTCAACTATGACGGTCCCATTTCAGCAATGATGACATGCATCTAAGGACACGTGTATTTACAAAATTTTATTGCTTAACAATGTTTTCTGTCATAAGAAACTAAGGACCACACAAAGCTGGTTTGTTCCCCTCCCAATCATCTAAAAATATGTAAAAACGTTAATGCGATGTCTATACCATAAAAATTTAATATTTAGAGCTCAAATATTCTGACAACTAACTACTCTCCAGGCACAACTTTCAACTGATGGAAATGAAAATAAGTGATGGATATATTTATTGACCAAACAAGTTTTTACATAAGTTGAATTTTTTTTTTACATATTGTTTTATATAAGTTGAAAAAAAAACCCCATTTACTTAAGGCATAAAGTGTGCTTATGGAAACCCACGCACTTATATGATTCACTACTTCTAGTTTACTACTAGAGGGTATCATCTGGAAAAAAATCCGAGTTAAAAGATTTTATTTTTTTAAAGCTTTAATGATTATTTTAAAGTTAGGATTGGATCAATATGTTTAAATTAAAAAATTGTCATTTAACTACAATTGTAAACTAGAAATAGCTTTGTACTTACCAAGATGCTCGAATTTCTAGGTTAAGTTTAGCTCTTTGTAATCTTTAGCTGCTATTCAGGCTACCAATTTTAGACTTATGCACTCACAATCGAGAATATGTCATCAGAAAGCACCACTACACTTCTCATTGTGCATTAAACCCCTTTGTGCCAAAAGACCCTTGTACAATACACCGCACTGCAAACAGGAAGGTACCACCACTCTAGATGGTCCAGTCGCCTGTTGCAACAAGGGTAAAAGACACATGGAGGGGGCCCTGCAGTAAAGGAAGCTATAGTGTGCTACAACAGTGCAACAAAGAGGGTCAGGATAACAACCTGTTGGTAGCCATGAAATAGGATGTCTGTGCCAAATCCTTGCTTGCTGTAAGAAGAGAAAAAAATTAAGATATTACTATTTGTTCCAATATGTTAAAAGCAAAAGGCTTTCAATACAAGAAAATATTTCAGCTCAAAGGCTTGTGCACAAAATTAAGTGCTATAATTTTAATACATAAAAATTAATACCAGTAGGAGCTCCAACATTCTCGAAAATACTGAAAACCTTCAATAACATTTACGCCCTATGCTATTCACTCAAAGGTTTGAAAAAGTCTACCAAATCTGAACTAGCCAATTATACTGGCTGAAATTTCTTACTAAGTTAATAAGACAAACAATAATGGGAGCCTTGATGATGAATCCAAAAATAGAGCTTTATCTTCTGTCGCCATACCTAAGTTGACACATGTATTTCTAACTATAAAATACTTGATAGTTTGTTCATCTTTAAATAAACTGAAGAAAAAGATTTGCATTTACCACAATGAATTGCTCAGTGTCCCTTCAACAGACTGCTAAACCATCCCCAAAAATAATTTTAAAAGAATATGGATATTTCTGAAATTCCTTTTTATTACAATAAATAAATTATTCCTAGGATCCAATTAGATAACAGGTGAGAAATGTTATCTATTCCAGTGTTATTAGGATGCTTTAACCCTGGTCACCCCAGAAAAACTTTTTAATAACTAGGCAATATGACCTTGAAAGATGCATTAGATTAAATCAAATTCAATTAATTCCTATTGCTACAGCTGTTTTCTTTCTTCCTTCTTTTTTAAACTTATGTTTTAAGTTAATGCCTCTATTGAAGCCTAATTCCCTCACCACTGCTACTGTTAAGGACGTCAACATCTGTCCTTCTAATCCACACTGACAGTGATCAAAAAGAGTTGAAGCTTTGCTGAGCTTAGGAGGTATTTCAGTGTGTCAGTTATTTTGTATGTTCTTTTGGGAGTGAGGGAGGCAGTGAATAAATAGTCACCAAGACTGTATTTAAAGAAAAAAAAACATTTCAGTGTCACAACTTCTGAGGAGGCCATAATTACTTAACTAAATAGCTAACTATTTTTAAAGACAAAGCCATGATTCCAAATTATGCTTATATAGTATTAAACACATTATATATTATTTATATAATACTAAATATATTGTTTTTATATAGTGCTAAGTACATTATATTCAGATAGTACTAATACATTATATTTATATAGTACTAGATACATTACATTCATATAGTACTAAATACATTATATTCATATAGTACTAAATACATTAAATCTATGCTCACAGACATATCTATTATTTAACACATTCTATGTATATAGTACATTCATTTATTTACCTCTAGCATATAATAATATACAATATACTTAAATAGTACTAAAAAGAATCTCAAAACTTAATGATTACAGCCATAACTTCATCATTAAATCACAAGCCACCACTAGTGCAAAGAGTAACAACAGACAGGTTATTTTTATTTATGGAAGTCTGTATTATGGAAGTTTAGAAAAAAATCGGTAGATTGTCAAAGATCTATAATTTGAAAGGTAACAACAAATTAAAGATGAAGCAAACTTTTAAAAAGAATTCATTTATAAATAACATAAAACAGGTTTACGTATTTCATTTGAAATTTTAAACTTGCACTTAAAAAATATAAAAAAATTTTACGTAAGCAAAATTTCTATCTTAAGTCTAGAAATGTAGGAAATTTGTGACCAATGATAAAATAAATATACTTTGGGGAATACATAAAAGCTCAAATAAGTTTTCCTAACAAAGATGATACAAGTTTGAACTTCAATTCAATTCAACTCCAAGTTTCATTTCCCACCATGTGTCAAAAATAAAACTTTCAATCTATTCAAATTCATGCTTCATTTCAACAACCCTGCAAATGAAATCACATTATGTACTTTTCTCCTACCCTTGATGAAACTCACACTGACTTTCTATGACAGACAGCCAACAATTACTCTGTAGAGCAAATGTGATCCTGTTTTGGTCACTTCAGGTTGGAGATTCTTACATCATGCCACAGAAGTATTTTTAAAACTGGAGATAAGAATTAGTATTAAATACCTAATGAAATAAGCCATATAACCTGGCTTTAAAATACAAAGGTTTAAGTATAAAATTAGGTTAAAAATCCCACACCTATCTATAAATTTAAGTAACACTATGAGTCATAACTAAAACTAAACTCTAAGTAGTAGGTTTAAAAAAACCACCACTATCAAATGACAAAATAGAAATTTATATGAGATATTAGAACTTGGTGAATAGCAGTGTATAACAGTGAATAAAGAGCTGACCTCAGAAGCAGGATGACCTGGGTTTAGGTCTTTTTCTGACACATACCGGTTGTATTACCCTGGGTTAGTCACTTACCCCTTGCTGCCCCCAGGTATCTAAGTCTCTACTTTGCAGAGTACTGCTGAACTGCTAAAATGAGTTTGCTCATTAGGAGGTCCTTACACCAACAGAATTACAGATCTAGTCCCATTCCAGTAAGAAAGTTTGTGTGTGTGTGTGTGTGTGTGTGTGCGCGCGCGTGTGTGTGTGTGAGAGAGAGAGACAGACAGACAGACACAGAGAGAGAAAGAGAGTGCGTGAGAGTGTGCGTTGGGGGGGGGTAGTTAAAAGAAAATTAAGTCATACCTTCTCAAATAACCTTTAAATCTCCGACCCATTTTGAAGCCAAAGGTTTGAGAGCGGCATGGTATAGTGCATAAGGCCTTGGTATGAGGAAGGAGCAGGTTCAAGTCCTGCCTGGGACTCATACTGGCTATACAACCCTAGGCAAGTCACTTAATGTCACAAGTGTGGTAGGCAACGCTTTAGGACCACAAGGTGCAGATAACGATCTGAATTAGTAGAGGGGGTTTCCTTATTTTCTTAAACCAATGAAATCAGGAATCTTGGGGGGAGGAGGGGGGGAGAAGAGAATGGAAAAAACCCTGCAGGATGACAAAAATCTTTCCAATACAGGGAAACAACATGATATAGTGGAAAGAATAATGGACTAAGAACCAAGGGACTTGGATTAAAATCCCAGTTCCACCCCTTATTAGCTATTTCAATAATTTTCTGTCTCTAAACTATGAATTTTTTTTTATCTGTGAAATGAGGAATTGAACGACCTTCTAAGGTCCCTTTTAGCTCTAACATTCTATAAATATTTTTGTCCACACAGAGCTAATAGGACAAAGGTCAGGACAAAAGCTTGTTGGCAATCAGTAAAAGTCACTTCAGAAGGGAAACAACAACATGGAAATAAGAAGTTAGATATAGCAACACGCATAAGTGGAAAGTCTCCATTGCTCAGGGTTGCAACACCAGACTACTATACCACTATGGTACATATAGCATTAGTAAGATTAAATGAAATCAAAATAAAGCACTAGATAAATACATTCTCCTCTCCCCCCCCCGATCTGTACCTATCTATATCTAGCTAGAAATGTGTATTCACACATTTATTACATATTTTGCTACTAATAGTAGACAACAGTCACATAATCAGTTACACTCAGCAATAATATCTGCATCTATCTAGTGCTTTTCTTATTTCATTCAAACTTACTAATGCTGTATGTACTATAATGGTACTGCAACCCTGAGCAACGGAGACTTTCCACTTCTGCATGTTGCTGTACCTAAATTCTTATTTCCATATCACTGCTTCCTGACTGAGGTGATTTTTACTAACTGCCAACAGGTTTTTGTTCTGACCTTTGTCCTATTAGCTCTCTGTGGACAAAAATATTTACAGAGTGTTAGAGCTAGAAGGGATCTAAGAGGTCATTTAGTCTAGTCCTTTCATTTTTACAGATGAAAGTTGGATTTATAATACCTTTCAGTGGAATTTCTAATCAGGAAATATAACACAAAAATACAAGTGCTTCCACTGGCTTTCTGGCTTAAATATTTATAAAACATTAAAATACTGAATAAGGCAACAAACAATTTATATAGGACACTATTTTGCAGATGTTAATGATGTGGTCATACAGTGAAAAATTAGAATTAAAGATGAAAAGCCCGAGTTTTGCTCTGATTTCCATGAAACATTCCAAGTCCAAGTAGAAGATCTCCAGGGTGTTATATAATTTATGAAGGATTTAAGAAAGGACACGAATAAGAATCAAACATAATTAGAAAGCACAGATAGGCCATTTTTCTAACAGTATTAGGCACATCTAGGCTGATGAGATGACAATTCCATTACTAATCTATATTGTTGGCGGTCCATTGCAATGGGTATAGAGGGGAGCAGACTGGCATAAGTATTATGTGTCAAAAGACATATCGAAATTTTCTAGTGAAATTATGCATTCTCCATTAAATCTAGGCCAGGCATCAAATCACCATGTAGACTTAAGAAGTAGTAAAACAGAACAGAAAGAGTATATTAGAAAGGAAATGCAACACAGTATACAACGAAGGGACTGAAATTAGGTAATTTCTAAAGTCCCTCTCTCTTCTAGGTTTAACATGCTATAATTCTATGAATATTCAAAAACTTTCCAATACTCAATGGGAAAAATATTTTTCCTGTTCTCATAAAATTCTCACATATGAGAATGAAATCATACAAATCAATTATTAAGTTTTAATACCATTATGACGTTTCAGAGGTTATTTACCTCTCACTAACTGGGTACATTTCACCACATCTGTATGTGGGTGTTCAATGGTGATCTCAAAACCTGAAAAAGAAAACATTTTATTAAATTGGCTACCATTTCAATGTCTTAACCAGTATAATTTAACATAAAACATAAAAACATAATGTAAGTTATTTTCCATTACACTTCAGGTCCATTTCACCCTTCCCAACTCTGGTTAGGACCAAATGTGCTTCCATTACTTTCTAAAATCCAACAGGACTTACAATTTGCCCTACCACTGTACCCAGGCTCCTGGGTCTTGCCACTGACACTAAAAATCAACTGGCCTTTCCATAAGTCCTAAAGCCGGACCCTCAGTTATAAGCTGCTTTCCTGATCAGAAGGCAAACTCCCCAAGATCAGGAATTGTCTCCCTGCTTAGCACATAGCTCAAACCTTGATCAATTCACTTTAATCTTTTATTGCCCCCCGGGAAGCTCTTTTAAAACTTTTAAGTTACTGGGGTAGCTAGATGGTGCACTGGATGGAGCACTGGCCCTGGATTCAGGAAGACCTGAGTTCAAATCTGGACTCAGATACTTCACACTCACTAGCTGTGTGACCCTGGGCAAGTCACTTAACCCCACTGCCTATCCAAAAAACAAAACAAAATAAAACAACAACTTTTAAGTTACAGATCTGAAATTGGCAGTGTTTTCAGAACATCTGTTTTTCTTTTTTGCTTAGGCAATTGGGGTTAAGTGACTTGCCCAGGGTCAGGTCCTCCTGATTCCAAGGCTGGAGCTCTCTCTATCCACTTTGCCACCTAGCTGCCCCTGGAATTGGTAGTTTTTTCACCTGCACTACCAACCTACAAGTCTACACCAAATAAAAACTATTGAGACTAATTCTAGCTCAGCAGAGTATTGTTTTAACTGAAAAAAAACAAAAACCCAGAAATTTTTTTTAAAAACCCAAAGTAAAAGAGAATAGTTATTGTTAAAAAATCATATTTTCCAATTTAAGAATCAAACTCAACAGAATAACCTTTTAAGAGATGCTCCTGAACCTTTTTCTTAAATTACTGTGTTTTACTTTTTATATTACAAACATTAATAGATTACTTCTTGAGAGAGCACCCGTAAAAAAGTAAAACAAGTAAAACTAATAGTGACTTATTCTGAAAGTTCATGCAACATTCAGCATTTCCCCAAACTGTTCATTTCTTTTTAATCAATAGAAATCTATTTTCTCTCCCTCTCACCTTTTATACCACTGGGGAAAAACAAACACAAATTTCTTGCAACAAATATAGTGTCAAGCAAAATAAATCCCATCGATGACCATATACAAAAACATGTTTCATTCAATACCCTAAATAATTGATAGCAGGTTTTATCATCAATCCTCTGGAATTATAAATGGTCAACGCTCATAGTTCTTACAGTTTTCAAAGTTCTTTGTTTTCACAGTGCTGTTACTGTATACTTTTTCTCCTGGTTCTGCTTTTTCATTCTTCATCAGTTTATAAAAGTCTTCAAAACTGTTCATTTTAATAATACTGACGTTACAGTATATATTATTTTAGTTCTGCTGATTTCACTCTACATCAATTTTCAAGTCCATATATTTTTGAAATCTATTTCTTAAAGCACAATAGTATGCCATCACATTAATTAATAATAGCTAGCATTAAGTTTTTAAACCACTACATATGTTAACTCTTCAGTCCTCAATCATATAATCACAACTTATTCAACCATTCTTCAACTGATGGACATCCCTTAGTTTCCAGTTTTTTGCTATCATAAAAAGAATTGCTATAAATACATCCAGGACTTCTTCCTTCTTCTTTGATTTCTTTTGGGTATTGGCCTAGCAGTGGTAAAGCAGTGTAAAAGGGTATGCACTGTTTTTTTTCCCTTTTTAATTCCAAATTGTTTTCTAGCATGGCTATAACTGTTCACAGGTCCACTAATAGTGCATCAACAATGTGCCTATTTTCCCATATCCCTTCCAACACTTATCCTAAGCTTTTCTTTAGAAGGCAGAGATGTTATTCACAAAGATGTACTTAAAGAGACGTTCAAACCCATTTTTTAATCCAGAAAACTGTAGTGTAGGGAATGACTTTAACACTGACTTGATACTGTTCAAATTAATTTTTACTATTGCAGTTTGACTTTTTGGGGGTACTTCATGAAGAACAGACTTTTTAAAAATATTGAACCAAACTGTTCAGATAGGTGAATGTTTTGGTTTAATTCTTAAACAATCAAATTTTTAATGCCAGGTAAACAATTGTTATCACAATCACCTCATGGATTACACTGCAGAATCAAAAAGGATGTTATTTAAAATACATTCATATAAGGCTTACTCCAGATTTAAGAAACTGTTCTATGTTTTTTCTAGGTATTAAAAGAGAAACAGCTGACTTGAAATCAGAAAGAATTAAATTTAAATCCTGCCTCATTCACTTATCAACTGCCAGACCCAAATTTAACCTCTTTCAGCCTAAGTTTTCTCATCTGTAAAATGGGGATAATAGGAACCTACCTCACAAAGTTGTATAAAGATCAAATAACATAACACACAGAGCATTCTACAAACCTGAAAACACCATATTATTTCTATTTAAATAAAATTCTGCAAAATTAAGATACTCATTTAAGTAATTTATTTCTGTTCTCTGCTCCACTTCCAATATTATCCACTTCTTTGCTAAAGAAATCTCCTTTTCTGGAAAGGTAGGATTGAAAAAATGTCAACAGTTAAGCACTTTTCCTTCTCAATAATTAGGAATTAAGTGACCTTGTTTCATTTTGGGTATATCTCATTTCCAATTCACGAAAGCTGTAATGCTGGAATATTTAGCCATTTCTGAACTAAACAACATAGATATCAGAACTATAAGATGATGACTTTTCTTTTCTTTGGTGAGGCAACTGGGGCTTAGTGATTTGCCCAGGGTCACACAGCTAGTAAGCGTCAAGTGTCCTGTCTGAGGCTGGACTTGAACTCAGATCCTCCTGACTTCTGGGCTGGTACTCTATCCATTGCCCCACCTAGCTGCCCCCAAGATGATGATTTCTTTTCCCACTTTGGTAGTTATTCTATTATTTCTTAGACTGCTATGTAAGATAAATGATCGAAGAAATAACTTGAATATTTCAAGAATCAAGGCATAAATGTGAGTACTTTCTCCAGTGACACAGGCTGTAATCACCAGAGTCTTCAAGAGCTTTTACAGTCAAAAAACTGATCATATTCAGGATAACTTGGTGATGAGGCTCTCTTACTTTACTTAGGGTCATCCTCAGGTGACAGGCGTACAATACATCATTGGGTTGATAGGGTATGGAAGGCAAGTTAGAGGTCATGTTGTTGAAACCCATCATTTAACAGATGAGGAAACTGAGGCCCAAAGAAGTTAAGTGCCTTGCTCAGGATCATGCAGGTAGTAACTCCTTTAGTTCAGTTCTGAACCCAGGTCTTCCCGACTCTAAATACCGAGCTATATTCCATACACTATACTGCTTCTCTTCATACTTTAAGCTTTTTCATTCTGGTCAAGACTGCTAGAAAAGCCTTTCAGAAGTCACGTTTCCCTGCCACAATGAAGCATGAGAGTAGGCCCTTTAGTGTGGGATATAATATCCAATAAACTAAAGCCAGACCATTTCTATATATTTTGATGGTCTAAAGGATTACCCTTCACCTCCCATATGTTTAATCTGAATATTTATTGGGATTACATAAACTTCCAGTGAATGTTAGAAATGTTTCTATAAACAAAACAATTTAGCTCAAAGCTTAATTAAAGTAACATACATTTGGGGCAGCTAGGTGGCACAGTGGATAGAGAACTGACCCTGAAGTCAGGAGAATCTGAATTCAAATCTGACCTCAGACCAAACACTTCACACTTACTAGCTGTGTGACCCTGGGCAAATCACTTAACCCCAATTGCCCCCCCCAAATAAAATTAAAAAAAAAAAACCATACACACACACACACACACACACATATATATATTTTATGACATGGTAGGATGAGGTCCTAAAGAAGTTTTCAACATGTTATGCCAAATATATACTCAAATTGTTCATTTTTAGGAGTTTAAGAGACTTAGTATACCAGAAATAAATTTTAAATGATACCTACTACATACCCAGAGTTTGTAGCATTATAGTTTCAAGTATAACCAGTTCTTGGGTCTGCTGAAGGTATGCCTGCCATGGAAAAATGACAATTAGGTTATAATGAACAGATCACTGAATCTTCTTATATTACATGGAAGAATGGCTAAATTATAATAAAATTCTAAAGGAATTTGGTCCAAAGTCTTTTAATTATCTCCAATACTTACAAGAATATGATGAATATATTAACATTATTAAATTTAGAGGAAATGTGTATTTCTAAAGCCAAGTACAAGAATATATTCAGTATCACCTTAGTTGAGATATTTGGGTATCAAATCTTCCCATTCCCCAAACAAAACAGGTATCAAGATTTTGAGCTTCCTATTGAGGAACTAATAGAAGGAATAAATGTGAGTCAGAAACACCCACAAATGAGTTACATTTTTAACAAAGACTCTAAATTCAATTTTAGTACTTTTTTTTTGATAAATGAAGTTAATGAATCAACCTCTTTAAAGGAAGATGGGGAAAGAAGGAGAGAACATTTGTAAACTTAATGCTCAGATTTAAAGTTATCAACATAAAAGAGCAAGTCACAAATACTGTTTTTTGGTGTGAATACAGCCTATGCCCACTAAAATTAGAGCTTTCTGAAAAGAGAAAAAATATATGGACATAAAATAAAAATAATTACTCCCCACCATCACCCAGTTTGAGACAGAAAATGCCAAGATCACAGAGGTTTTTATGGTTAAGGAAAAGGGTAACACAGCTAAAACCATTCTCATTTGTTCACTCTATCCTTCTTTCATTTTACAGCTGAAAACAGATTCCAATTTTTATGATTAGAAACTCTATTACCTGATGTGATATACCAAACACAGCTTTCCTTTCTTATGCCTAATTTTCTTACTTGAACAAAATTACACTCAGCGCTTAGATTTTATACTATGGAAAGGAGGGGACGTATAACTTTTATTTGGCTATAATACGGTTTAGAATTCTGTTGTGTATACTGGATAGTTAAGTGACACCACCTCTTAAAAAAAAGTAAATGCATGTTATGTAAATTGAACAACTCTTAAAGATAACATCAATAGCTGATCTATAATTATGTGAGCTGAAGTTCAGTTAAGAGACTTAAGATGGGGGCTGTAATAATCCAGGTATTTCAAATAAAATTCTGCCATAATTTCATGAATGCTGATGAAAATGTAGGTCAACCAGTGTCAACTGTGGAAGGAATTAATTTCAATTTTTAAAAACTCTGTCACATACTTCACTCTTTGTGTCCAACAGTAGCTCTTGATGAAGACAGGCATGTGCTACTTTGATGACATGTTCAAGTTTTCTAGGCTGTTCTTCAACTTTTGCAGCCAAGAATAATGCAGTTGGTGCTATTATCTGCAGAAAAGATCAACTTAATTTTAGTTTTGTTAGTTTTCTTTTAAATTAAATAAACTCTTTATTTGCAACATCTAATGTCTTTGGGAATAGAGGAACTGCCTGTCTCAATTAAACTTTTAAGTATCTGACCATAAGACAAATATCTATTGTTTCTTCAAATAAAAGAACATAGCAAGGGCAAAAGAAAGAATAAAACGAAAATTCTCCTTCAGATGGGAGACTTTAGCTATATGGGAAAGTCTAAGTAGTACTAATTTTATAGTTATACTCATTAATTTGTCATAGAAATCATTTCCATTCCACTGTAAAATAAAGACAAAATTAGGGGCTAAAAATTAAACATATAATGAAAGTTTGTCATATATGTATATACATACACTTAATTTCTTTTGCAAAGATAATGAAATAGTACATTTGTAAAATTAAATTTAATTCTATATTCAGTTAAAATAAATATACTCAGAGGCAAATGCAAACCTAATGGCTACAAGTGTCCTTTACAAAATTATGTAGACAAAGAGTAAATCTGATCCCTATTCAGAAAATAAGTAAACCAATCAAAAACCAAAGAGAAAATAGCAGTTAATTTTTAACACATTACACTAGCCAACTTAGCTCATAACTTTAAATATTTTAATGATCCTAAGAATATGACACACTGGATCACATTTTCAGCAGGGGAAAGAATGACTTGTTTCCTAGCACATTTCCTAGAAACTGATTTTGAAACAGCAATGATTTGGACAACCCTAAGTTTCTCCCAGGTTATACTGCTTTTGGTTTGAGGGAGAGCAGGAAGGAAGAATAGTCTAACTGTAGAGAAAGCCATTGTAGCTAAGGGCTGTGTAGCCTGGACTTCAGAAATAGAAACAGGGTCACCAGTAATGAAAGGAAGTGGAATTTAAACATGAGAGCCCCATTCACGACTTTTATTGGAGTTATTTTCACTCAAATGCTCTAATAACCCTAAATAATAAATATTTGAGATAAAGTCAACAAAAACTTTTATCATCCCATTGAGATAAAGGAAATATAATTTTTAAAAATTTTGCATATACTTTTGCAAGAGTTAAATAAAATCCTCAAAATACTGACCTTAATTGGCACTATATTCCAACTGCCAGATTAGAAAATACATAAACTATGGAACATATAAAATTTGTCTGGCACTCGAAATTTCTTTAAACTAGGGATTTTTGCATACTTTATTTTACCCAGTTCAAGAGCTAGTACAGTCAAAGAATGTATCACCTAATGGCCACTCTGATGAGGAGCCTTCTCTTTATATTGGGCCAAGTTATCTCTCAAAGAACACAGCCTACTGATGAACTAAATTTAAAGTGACTCCAGTTTAGAAGCTGCTGCCCCATAGTCTTTCATGGTCAACTAAAAACAAATCAACTAATTTAAGGAGGTTGCACTGGTGTCAAACTCAAATAGAAACTGGGGGCCATAAACTTTACATAAGGTTTATGGGACATGTATTGGCTTTTAAAACCACACTTAAATATAATCTATGTTCTACTGTATTTTCATTTATTATATGTGTCTCAATTACATCTTAATCTGGTTTGGTATGCTTGACGCTTCTAGGCTAAGGAACATACAAAGGTAATGAGACAGGGACTCTCCTCTCAAATGTAATAGAAAAAGCACCAAATTGGGAGGAGTCCTACATTCTTTGTCCTCCTGGCAAGTCACCAAATCTCTCAAGCTTCAGTTTTCTCATTTCTAAAATGAAAAAATGAAGCATATAATCTCTAAAACCCATTCTCAGGCTTAGTATTCTATCTTACTTCACTAAAAAAAAAAGTTGTATTGATGCTTAAATTTTTTTATAATCCACCATTTCCCAAAATATCCTTCCTTCCACAATCCTTTATGATAGAAAAGTGAAGTAAAACCAAGAGAGACCACACAAACAGGACATACAACATTGTGGATCTGTAGTAAGTTCTCTCCCTATGATAGAAAAGTGAAGTAAAACCAAGAGAGACCACGCAAACAGGACATACAACATTGTGGATCTGTAGTCAGTTCTCTCCCTCCCCAAAAGAGGAACATACGTGTCATCGTCTGTTTTCTGAAGTCTAGATTAGTTATTGTAATTAAGTATGGTTACAATGCCTTTTGGTATCACAAACTTTTTTTGGTAGTCGTGTAAATTATTCTCCTGGTTTTGCTTACCTTACACTGTATTAGTCCAGAATTTTTCACATTTTTTTTTCCTTACAGCATGAGTCTTTATCTTTTTGTTTCTAGCCTTGGTATAGGTTAATTTGCACGTTTATATCATTTGCAGTTGTTTTAAATGAAGACTACTGTTTTCTCTTCACTTTTTGCTGTCTATACAGAAATGCTGAATAATTTGAGAATTATTTTGTATTGTTACTTTATTAAAACTACTAACCATCTTGTTTAGCTTCTTTGTTAACTGTTTTTTCCATTATTATCTGCAAATAGGGATAACTTCCTCTTTGATTTTTTTTCTTCTGTCTTTTGCTATAGCTAAAATTTCTAAAACTACATATAACTGTAAAATACTGGTGGGAAGAGACATCCTTGCTTTATTTTTGTACTTATTTGTTCACAAAAAAGAAAATTTTCCTTTAATGCCTATGGTTTTAAAGAAAAAACAAAAACAAATGAGTGGTATATTTTTTTTCCAAAGGCTTTTCCCACTATTGATCAAATAATTTGTTTTTCTGTCATGACTAACTATGCTATTTTCCTATTGTTAATTCACCCCTGAATATCTGGTTAAGACCCATCTTGGGTCAGCAGATATTTATTTGGATAGAATACTGTGTAGTTGCAAAGATTTTTATATCAAAACTATTAGTGAGAGGTAGCATTGCATATACCAGAGAGCCTGCTTTGGAGACCTGGGTTCAAGTCCGCCCTCTTTAATTATTTATTGCTTTTCTGTCTGAAATCAAGATTACAACTCCAACTTTGTTAGATACCTGAGGCATGGTAATTTTTTTCCAAACCTTCATTTCAATTCTGACTATCACTTTTAAAAAAATGTTTCTGTATGAAGACAGAGCAAACTGTAGAAGTTTGTTTCCTTGTCCATTTCCTTAGGGCATTTAACCCATTAACAACGTTTGTTAATCTGTTATAATTGTCTCCTTAGTGGCTCTTAGCTAGCTAAACATTCTATAATACCATTACTGATGTCACTAGTGACATCATGAATACCCTGTTCCTTATATATGGAGATGTCTCTAACCAGGGAAAGATGCCTAATCCACTACACATGGATATTTTTAATGTAATTAACATTTTCTTAACTCTTTTCTCTCAGGAGATTATTCACAGGGGATTTGATGCTCAGGGCTGAGGCAGAAGACACCATCTTAATCTAGGTCTGACAGTTTTGAATGGTGAGTTTCACTGTTATTATGAGCCTTCTTCTATCACCAATTTCTAAGAAATATCACTAACCATTTTGAAGACAAACCCAAGGGACCTATTTTCTATGGCCAAGAGACATGGCACCATCTTAACTACCAGCATACCTCAAAAATTTGACATTAATCTCACTGTGGGGAAAACTTGGAAACAGTCCTGGCACAATGTGGATGCCGTGGAGTAGTTGCTTGTGTCATATGAAGACACATTTAGGGTCACCAAAAAGTTGCACTTCACCCCTAATCTGGAGCCAAGAACAATCCTTTCATACTTAAAGCTATAACTGTAAGCTCTGTGTTAGCCACCACTGGTTGGTCCCAGATATAGGTGTCACTCCTCTCCCCCTTGCCAAGCCTTATCTAGCCCAGATAAAAATATAATTAAGATTATCTCCCCATATCCCTGACCCCCAAATCCATTCTTTTAACTTGAGAAACACTGAATTTTAGGATCCTTTTCCAACAAGTTAGTACAAGTAACATTTATTAAGTGCTTACAATTTGCAAGGCACTGTGTTAAGTGTTGGAGATTTCAAAGAAATGTACAACACAAACCTTGCTTTCAAGGAACTCAGTTTATTAAATTTGGGAGACACACAAACAAGACACACACGGGATAAAATGGGATTGGGAAAGGCTTGTTTATTGACTGACTTCTACTGTCTCAACTGCATATTAGTACAATTAAAGAGCTCATCTATCCCCCCTTTTGTTTGATTTTATATATCCCCCCTGCTCATCTTTTGATGGGTATCACTCTTAGAAGCAGCAAAAAACCCCAAGCATTTACTAAGCATTTATGATATGCCAGATGTTGTGCTAGATCCTGAGGACACAAAACCAAAAACGAAACAATCCTTGCCAACAAGGAGTTTGTATATTGAATGGAGAGACAACATATATATGGTAGAGCATAAACTCCTTGAGAAGAGATTGTTTCATTCTTTGCATTTGTATTCCCAGTGCCTAGCACATAGTAGGGTGCTTAATAATAATGACTAGCATTTATATACAGCTTTAAGGTTTGAAAAGTGTTTTACAAATATCTCATTTTAACCTGAAAAGAACAATGGGAAGTAGGTACTATTGTCTCCATTTTAAAGATGAAGAAACAATCAAATAGAGGCTAAGTGACTTGCCCAGAGTCACACAGTGACTCTGTGTCTGTGGCTATATCTGAACTCAGGTCTTATTCTAGGTCCAGCCCTCTATATATTGTGCCACTCAGTTGCTTATAATAAATAATAGCAACAATGAATTATAAATAATACAAATAAACATTATTAATTAGACTTAAATGCTTTTTGATTAATACCTTCATGGGGGGGAAGGCACAAGTAGTTTTTTGGGGGGAGGGTACAGCTGAATCTGAAAAGAAGCTAGGAATTTTAAGTGGAGATTTAAGAGACAGAATTTCAAGTATAACAGAAAATGCAAAGGCAGAGTAAGGGAGAAGGGAGGAGAGGGAGGGAGGGGAGAGAGAGAGAGAGAAGGGAGGAGAGGGAGGAGGAAGTGATTTAAGGGGAGGAACTGATAAGATAGCTACTTCAATACAGTCCAGATAAGTAATGATGTGTGCCTGAGGTAATGGTGGTGGCTATGTAAACAGAATGAAGGAAACAAATGAGAACAGATGTCATGTCGTATAAATGGAAGTCCTTCTGTATCCTGAGTCACCACACTTGCATTGGTCCTCATTCCCCTCTTTTCCCTTTACCACTTGCTCATCCCAAAGCCACAGAACTTTTATCTCCCTCTTCTGCCTGGAATGTTGGACACTCCCATTTTAGGGGTGGATTATGAGGTCCTGAGAAGCATGACCCAGTACAAAAGGGCTCTCTTGAGATGCTAATTCTCCCTCAAAGAAATGAGACACATCTTGTCCAGCCACAATGGAAATACATTTCTATTTGCCCCCTATTTTATGTTGTTCCCCCTTCTGAGGCAAGACTTGATTTACATTCTTCCTTTTTCCCAGGCAAGTCAAGAGACTGAAGAAATCACTATCCAACCGACCCCCAAACCTCATCTGGACAAGAGGGTATCTCTGGCTCCCTTCTGTCTCATGCCTGTAACCCTCCAACAGCTTATCTGCCTCCTCTTTCAATTATTATTTAGTCAGAAAGGAAAATGACTTCATTTTTATAAAATACTTTTGGACAGGAGGTACTGTCGATCAAAAACAGGTTCTAAAGGAGTTATTAAAGCAATCTTCAATTTTCAATGTCATAATTCAGTCAGAAAAACAAATCTCATCTGCTATTAACTTCTCTTACTCATTCAAATTTTCAGGCTTTTCACATTTCTTCAGTCTTTAGGAATCTGAGGGCACTTCATGAACTACTTGGTTTCACTAGAATATCCTAAACATGTTTTAAATGTTTTAAAGACAATATAGAAGCAGCAGAATTGATACAACTGGACCTATATATTACTAGGTAGATACCTGGGTTTGAGGAATAGCAGTCTGATTAACCAGCCGTGTGAACTTCAGCAAGCCACTTAATATCTTTGGCCCTCAGAGGCCATCTAGTGAAATCTGCACCTGAACAAGAATCTCCACTACAAAATAAGTAGTCACCTAACTTCTGCTTTCAGACCTCTACCTAGACAGACCCCACTATCTCTCAACTCCCTATTCTAAAATAGCTCCAATTATCTGAGTTCCTTTCAGTTCTAAGAATGTATGCACCTAGTAGCTTTCCAACCTCCTGCCATTAATCTGCTATTTCAGTAAAACAGTACTTGCTAAGGTTCTGGTTATTCCATCTCTGCCAAAGATGACAATTAGTACTCTCAATTCTGATCCAATCTTTCCAAAAGTTTTGGCTCCATGAATAATACTGTGATTCATCTTTAACAACCACAAACTCTGGTTTTCGATTTAATCCCATAAATATTTAAGTGCTTACTACGCAGTGTATTCCAAAGTTTGGTGCAGTTTTAAACCATCAAAGTTACTGAAGCTTAAAACTGTACTAAGACATTCGGGATGCTATATTCAAGACAGTGCTAGGCACAAGGGACAGAAAAAACAAATAAATATATGCATTAGCAATACCTCCTTAGGAGGCTGATGACATCTACACAGATAAATATAATTACAACATAATCTCAGGAAGGAATGAACATTCAGTGACCTGAGAAGGTTCAGTTTTCAGGAAAGAATGGAGGATTTATGGGGAAAGATAATTAGTTTTGCTTTTATTATGCTGAATTTGAGTTGCAGAGACATTCAAATAGATAAACTGAATCTAGCACACAGATTCAAGACTGAAGCGCAAAAGAGATTAGAGCTGTATACACAGACTCAGGAGTTATTTGTGTAGAGATGATACCTGAATTCAGGTAAGTAGAAAAAATTAGTTTTTCTTCTGATCTATCGGCTAAAATAAACAGCTTGTTCTTGAAAAATAGCCCAAGCCAATGGAAAGTAAAATATTTACACTAAAGTATCTGCATAAACTTTTCTTTGAAAAAAAAAGAAAAAAATTCAGTGTCCTGGTGGAAATCTCAATGAAAATCTGTTAACTCATTTCAATTCAACCAGTATTTTATCTCCCATCCAAACCATCCTTCGTACTGCTGCTGGATTTACAAAAATCTTGTTCTGTTACAAGACCATAAACATTACACTATTTTTTTTACAGCTCAGTAGTGGTTCTATCTTTGAGACACACCTCCACCAGGACTACTTCAAGTCTCAACACTGCCTTTATCTCAAAAGCTAAGGAAAAGATAAAATGTCTATGAATTTGAAATCTCACTATTTGCATCTACATCTTTTAGGTCAATGTTAACTATGAGAAGACATTTTCAATGTTCTTGTGTAGATTGGCAACCTTCACTTATTCCCGTTTATGAAATCTACAAGAAATCATGGTTCTGGAGTCACTTGCTATTTACAAGCATTCTGGTGTTGAGTCTGCAAAGACCACTTGTTTTCTTACTTGTAACTACAAAGTTACTTAGCATAAGAGCAAAAACAATACCAAGATAAGCTCGGATTGTAAATCATCCCTGGACATATGCCAGAAATACTGTAGGACTGTGAGATTCTGGCACTCGTTACAAAGCTTAATGACAACAGGTTTCTGATTTTAGGGTCTAGCTGCTTAAACTGCCATGCTTAAGTCTGGTTGGGCTGAAACTACTGAAGTCATCTGTAGCCAATTCTCTCACAGCAGAATTCTACAACTGCTCCTCCAGCTGTGCTCACTCTCAGCCACTTAAAATGGTCCTTCTTTCACGCAAGAGTAAATAAACTTCATTTTATTAGGATCATCTTACTTGGAAAACCACAATTATCCAATGATTTAGTCCAAGAACCTACCCTTTCAGTGACACCTAAGGCAATAATGCTAATGGCATTTTCACTAATTGCTATCATCCACATCTTTCATTTCTCTTTCCTTCTGCATTTATTTTCCACCTTTCATATTCTTCACCTCTTAGGCCTGCTAGTGGCACCCACATGCAATGGTGCTGAATCTACGGTCACATTCCAGGTTATTAACTACTCCATTTGATTCTGAATATGCCAGATAACTTCTCTGGTCCTTAGTATCTTCAATTGTATAAACAAGAAGACTGGAGATTGTTTAAGGCCTCATCCAGCTCTAATATTCTGATTGGAAATAGAATCTAGATCTACTACACTTCTTAATTCACTTACTAACTAGAACATTTGCTCTAAACTTTTGCCCCCAACAAAGATCTTTCCTCATTTATATTGTGATAAACTCTGGTTGTTCAGTCCTATTCCAGTAATGTCCAACTCTTTGTGACCCTGTTTGGAGTTTTCTTGGCAAAAAGACTGGAGTGGTCTGCCATTTCCTTCTCCAGCTCGTTTTATAAATGAGAAACTAAGGCAAACAGTGTTAAGTGACCTGCCAGGAAAACTCCAAATGGGGTCATAAAGAGTAAGACACGACTGAAAAATGAGTGAACAGGGACAGCTAGGTGGTGAAGTGGATAGAGCATTGGACCTGGAGTCAGGAGGAGCTGAGTTCAAATCCGGCCTCAGACATCTGACACTTACTAGCTTTGTGAACCTGGGCAAGTCACTTGACCTCAGTTGCCACCTTGTGCAAAAAAAAAAAGTGAACAATTATTATTAAAACCGGAAAGTGGATTAATTTTCTTCTGTGGCTTAAAGGCTGGTTTTGAAATAAATTCCAAAAGAATTTCAAAAATGTTTGCAGCAATGGCGTTCTTATTGATATGAGTATCCTACATCCCAAGGGGACTACTGGAAGAAAAAAATCATGCGGATATATTTCTGGTCACAAATTAAAAACAACCACCACCACCACAACAACCACAACAAAAAACTAACCACAACCAGCAAAAATGATACAAAGAAAGAATAAATAACAAGCTGGGTTATGATAGCAATCAACATTAAACAAGGACAGAAGCAATACTGCTTCTGACAATCACTACTTCAAGCAAGTCGTTTTAACCTTCCCGGGCCTCAGTTTCCTCATCTGAAGTTGGCCAAGATAGCCTCTAAGGTCCTGCTAGCTGTAGATGTATGTTCCCATGAAATGTAGATTAGAACGGTTCAAATTTAAGATAGGATTCCAAAAGAGAAAGGTGATGTTTAAAACAGGGACTCTCAATCTTGGTTTTTACACCACTGTGCATTATGGAATCATTTGCTGCATGAAATTCTCAAAATGAAACTTTAAATATAAACATAATGTATTTTTTTGGTTGAGAAAGAAAATGAGGCATCAGTTCAATGCAAACTCCAACCCAAATGATTGGGTGTCACTAATGTTGGATAATGGGTAATCCTTGCAGCTGTTGTAAAGCTTACTGATAGTAAACTTCTGTTACTGAGCCTTACTATCAAATTGTAAAATAAGTTTATCTTGCTCTTACTCTCCCCCTTTCCACTGTTACAGTGCTTTTGTCTAACTCCATTTCTACTCCGCTGTACCAAATATTTCCATATCTATTTCTAGTCCTACTTCTTGCTCTCTGCATCCCTTCTTTTTTTCTTTCTGTTCCTAGCTCGATGCTTTCCTTTTTGTCATAAATGCCCCACTGCTGGCTGACATTTTGTAATTTTTATTACTAGTTGCAGCCTCAATAATTCACAGAAAAAGGAGTGGGAAGAATGAAGTGAGTAAAATAAGTCCATGCAATAATGCTGATTTTGATACCACTAAAGGAATTCCATAGTAATGGCATTTTGTTGGTCTGGTTTGAAGGTGTAACACTTTAAATTTACTAGTTATTTCTAATGTTTCAACTTCAGATCCTTTCAGATACCATTTCTGCCTGATAAACCTAGCCTCTACCACTTTTTAATTTAGAGTCTGAAGGGCTGCTTGATGTGCTCTCTAAAGCTCTTTACATACACCTAAAGATATCTGCTAAAGATATCACTGTTATCTGCAGTGAGGATAGACATCATTGTTCTTAAACTCTAGTTCAAAGTAGTACAACTTGAGCAGTGACTCAGAATTGGGTTGCTGGACTGAAAGAGGCATCAAGCTAGGAAAGTGACATAGGAGATAAAGACAGAAACACACTAGGACAAAAGAAATGAAATTCAAGCGGGGGAGGGAGATGAAAGTAGTAGGTGAAAATGCTCATCTTTTCTTTAGAAGACAATCAATCTACTTAAACTCCTCATTTACACTGTATCTCTGTAAACTCATAAAAATAGAGGTTGGCTACGTATGAATAAGTGGTTCAGTATATGTGCTACATGCCTTACACTGATTTTCTGAGATAAATGGGGGATCATCCCGCTAATAAATTTTAAGCACTGATATTTAGGCATAAATAAAAATTAAGGCATAATTATTGGTAGTCAAGCTATATTATACAAATAAAATAAGAATCTTTATTTGAATTAAGGTGATCCCAATGGAAAATATTCCTTATACTAAAATGGAGACTCCATATATACTAGCTAACCTCCCAAAAGAAAGGGTTAGGGAAGAAGACAAAAACTCTTCTGCTTGAGAAAATTTAAAAACAGACTAGACAAGGTACTCAACAATTTTATGGCTGACTCATTAATAGAAAATTCACATTCAAAGGTACAAAGAGTAAATGCTTTTGTTTTTTTCCCTTTTGCTTTATGGGCACAATAGCTGAATTTAAAAAAATCCTCATCTGCTGTTTATCGAAAGACCACAATAAAATGACTTTTATAAATGAAGTCATCTGCTCAGTTCAGATACAGTAATTAAGACAGATATC